TCTAAGGTTAAATAGTAGTATAGTTTCTAAGTACACACAGTGTTATTCTATATTCTAAAGTAGTTTGTCAGTAAAATAATTCTATAATTAGTCTCTTTATTTGGTTAATAGTTTAATTAATAGTATATATATATATATATATATATACACACAGAAAATGTATGTGTACGTCTATACATATAGCCAATTACAATACTGGTACAGAAAAGGTTTGATACTCAGTTTTATCTATAATTAAATAGTCCTAATTGCTGTATTACAGAAAATGGAAGGAGGGACATTGACAATCAGCCTTGGATCTTGGATGGAGCTGCCCAGCCTGCCTTTTAGAGATTGGAATACAATGCGATACAGGTGAAACTTTAGCTGTTTAATAGATAATTTGAAATAAAAAATTCAACTAACCTAACAAATCACATGAATTATTTTAAATAATTGGTATTATATTAACTTAAGATAATTTTCAATTTTTATTTTTTTTTATACAAGTAAATATCTGGGATACAACTGCAGATTTAGTAGTAAGACTTTATATTTGTCATATACCACAACATAAAGACAAGGCATGCTAATCATGGTTTCTTGAAAACTCCTTAGCAAAGCTGACATGTGTTCACAAAAAATAACTGATATCAGCACTAAAATTACTTATACATGTATTGAGGTCAATTTCAATAATATTGTTTTATTTGCTTTAAGTCATACAATTAGGTGTTACTATTTTCTTTCTAATTGTCCTTCAAAACTTTCTGGTATGTACAGTATAGTTTTTATTCTTTTCTGACTTGTGAGTCATTATATTGGTTTTATGTCAGAAATGGAACTGTGCTTCTGAACAGGAAATCATAATTAATCAAATTTTTCACTAATATGTGCTAGTGAAAATTCCAACTAATAAAGAATTTAAAATAATTATTAAGCTTTTTACTGTTCTAAGTGCAGCTAAACATAGGCCCCTTTAACATTAGTCATTATCAGCTGTATAAACTATTGTGAAGTTTTCACCTTTTGAGTGTTTTTATTTTTTCCCAATCAGAGACAGAACCTGTATCCCTGGAATTCGACAGAATAGAGCTTCTGTTGGAAGTGTAGCTCGGTATTACAGAGACTACGTAGACATAATGGGTCTTGCTGACTTTTTTGTTAATTATACAACAGTAACTTCAGTACAACAAGTTGGAACAGACTGTGATGGAGAAAAGTTAAACCCAGGGGTTAGTCAGCTCTATCCACTGTGGGAAGTACAAGGTCAAAAGGTTGAACAGTGTCAGGACACTGGAGAAATGAAGACTGTAGGTTTTGGTTATGTAACACCACATGTTATATTAGCAACAGGTAATTCAGATCAGCCAAACCACCTAAGTGTTCCAGGAGAGAATCAGCCCTTTGTTATCCACTCTCTTCTTCACTTGGAGAGACTTCTGTTACGAGGCCAGTTAACACCTGAATCTGGAACTCTTCTCATTGTTGGAGCGGGTCTCAGTGCAGCAGATGCTATTATTGCTGCTCGTTTTCATGGGATATCAGTTGCTCATGTTTTTCGCAGGCATGTAGATGACCCTGAACTTATATTCAACAAACTTCCCCAAAATATGTACCCTGAATATCACAAGGTAAATCAGATGATGGCAGACCAGTCAAATAGTTATGGAGGTTATAAGTGTTATCCAGCTCACAGAGTGACAGCTATCCTTTCAAATCATGAGGTGGTTCTTGAATCCATCAACTGTGGGAACAAATGTGTAGTCCATGCAGTGTATGTCTTGGTTCTAATTGGAATGCACCCTGACTTATCTTTTATGCCAAATTCTGGCAACAGTATTGGTGTTGTGCCAAGCAAACCTGTAAACTGTAAGACAAACCATATTGACATTCATTCATATACACATGAAACTGTTTGCCACCCAGGAATTTTTGCATTAGGTCCTCTTGTAGGTGACAACTTTGTTAGATTCGTACAGGGAGGAGCTCTTGCTATAACTAGTTACCTTCATAAAAAAAGGAAAATAAAACATTCCTTGTAGTGAGTAACTGTTTCAAGAAAGTAGTTTTTTTTTAGATTTATTATAAGTTTATGTTCACTGTAATAAGGTTCTTCAGGTAGTCATCATGTAATCCCATCAGTAGTGTCCCTTCATATAATAGCTGTTACATGTATTCCACTACAGCAGAAAAGCAATGTGCTTCATCACTTCGCTGAAGTTACTTTTTTTTTTTCAAGAATCATTGTAATCACTGGTGTTTCTGTGTAGCTCTGTATGAAAATAGTTGTGATTTTTCCCACCAAAATAGGAAAGTTGTGCCTCATCATATTTCATCATCAACCATAATCCATCAAAGATGTCTATCATCCACAAAAAAAAAAAAACGTGTCCACCATGATAGCCCAAAGTTAAGAATCACTGTCGTCTGTGTAGATTTGGTACAGCTCTGTATGAGAATAGCTGTGATTTTTCCAATAAAAAATAACAAAGTTGTGCCTCTTCAAGCTTCATCATCAACCGTACTTCATGGAAGCTGCCTACCATTCACAAAAACTAGTGTCAGCCATGTTAGCCCAAAGTTAAGAATCACTGTCACAGCTCTGTATGAGAATAGCTGTGATTTTTGCAATCAAAAACAGCAAATTGACAGCAAGTAAATACACAATACTGTGTAGAGTAATATAAAATAAAGTTTATATCCATATAAGCTTCTCGTTTTGACAAAAGTGGGTGTAAACTTTATTTTAAAAATAGCAAAGGTGTGCCTCTTCAAGCTTCATCATCACTCATACTTCACCAAAGCTATTTATCATCCACAAAAATTAGTGTCAACCATGTTAGCCCAAAGGATAACTGTCAACTATGTTTCTACAGTGCAGCTGTATTGTCTAAGAAAAAAACAGCTTCAAATGTATTTTGTTAAAGTTCTATGTGTGGTCTATGAAACAAAGTTTTCACCAAACTATTCTTTCTTCTTCTAATATAATTGTAAACTTTGTTTACTAGTCTTGTCTTGTTGTGAAAATTGCTATAAACCATGTTCTTTTAGCACAGAATTTTTCAAGGTTTCTGCATTAATATTTGTCAACTATTCTTTATCATTTTAGTAATGACTAGCTTCTTTTTTTCTTTACAAGGGTTACCACCATTATTGTTCCTCTATAGCATTTTTTTTGCCTGTTTTTGTTCATTGTTAAGCCAAATTTTTCTGATTAAAAAAAAGAGTATTCTTCAAGAATAACTATTATTTATGTTTTTGAATTTTTAGTAATAATAAGTTTTTTGAAGAACTGTCAGTTTTTTTATAATGCAGGAAAGTAACTTGTTATCTGACATGATGACAAAAACTTGTCTTTTAAAATCTGTTGGATCCAACTTTCTGATAACTACTCATTGGTTTGGAAGTACCTCAGTGTTTTTGGTCAATAACCTTCAAGAAAAATTATTATTAATGATGGTAAAAGTGTATGATATTAGTTTGCATGTATTTTTCATACACATCAGTATTGTTGGCATCAACTAAATATTTTTCTAAAATATTTTTGTATTTAGAAATGTATAGCAATAGAAGTGTACTCCATGTCAAAACTGAATATTTTGTTTTTATTGAGAATTTCAACCTTTCAAAGTTTATAACTGGTGGGCCTATCAGTGGGTCAGCAGTAAGTGTTTGGATGTACAGTGCTAAAATCTGAAGTTTGATTCCCTGTGATTGTCAGAGTGCAGGTGGGCCATTTATAATTTATATATATATATATATATATATTGGATCAACTTTTTGTTTAACTTTGCTTTTATTATTTGTTACTAATAGTGAAATTCTCCTTAAAAAAATGCTGGTACCTACTTTTGCCTGGAACTAGTTAGCCTCAAAGTGTATGAAGTATCACATTTTCAGCAAGGTAACTCTTCCTTTTCATGCACTGTTCAAACTGAACCGCCAAGGAATAATAAAAAAAAAAAGTGGTATTTTACTTGGAATTTCAAAATGAACTGGTACTAGCAGAAGTTTACCAATGTTTGTTATTATTATTGTTATATTTTTGGTATTATTGTAATGGAATTTTTAATTTTTTGTTATGTTGATCAGCTAAGAATGTAAAACAAGAAGAAAGAAATGTATCATTTTACTTTCATTCCATTAATCCTTTCAGTATGGGTTTTATATTCTTAAAATAGAAACAATGTAATTATGTATAAATGACTTAGGATACACAAGGCATGCTTTTGGGATCCTTGAAAATTTTCCCACACACCCTTTTTGAAATGTGTGTATAGAACAGATGTTTATGGAAAAATTTTATATATACATATACACACATTTAAAGGTGAAAATAGTGCAAGAACATCTTTTAATCAAATTTTTATTTTTCAACCAATCCTACTCAAACATACTCTGAGATAAACATAACCCAACAGTACTAAAATGGTTAAAATAATAAAATTACCATGAGAACCAAGATTAATTTGTCAAATTTAATGTTAATTTGTTACATCTTATAATGTTAACTATTGAAAAATTCCAGTAATAAAAAGTTAATATTTCAATATGGTCTTGAAGTTTCTATGAACCTGTAGAGCCCATGGTTGTAGTTATAGTCTTTTCAGTTCAAAATTAATATAAAAGTATTCCAGAAAAAAAATTTATATATATATATATATATATATATATATATATATTGATATATATATATATATATTTATTTTGTTATAGTGTTAAATGCCAAGAAGTGGCAAAACAGTGGAACAAATAAGCATAATAATCATGATAAAAGTCATGCGAGAATGTATGTGCTTTTTTATCACATTCCTTGTAATTATTCCATTACATGTTTCAAATCAAAGGCATGTAAATATGTAACATTATTCTTTCACATTATTAACAGTTTTTGTTTATAATTCAAACTTACCTTTTTAAATAAGGTTTATATTGACTTGTAAAAATTCATGATTTCAGAAAATACCTAATGGTGCAAACAAATTTTGAATTAAATTACCAAAGGTGACAGAAGTAATAAAGATGCAAAGAGTCAAGGAAGAGCACTGGACACATATCAGAAACTTTTTCTTTAGGGATATAAAGCTCAAATATTTTGTTGCTGGGATTTTGTAAATTAGGGTTTGATATGCTAATGTTCAATGTTGAACCATTCAAGTTTAATACTAATTTTTTCATCTCTGGTTGGTTGATATTTTAAAAATTTGAATACTTATGCTTGTATATAGATATTTTTATTTTATTTATAAATAACCATTACAGCTAAGCCTAAAGAATTTTAGAAATGGGATAACTAAGCTGAAATTTTTAACACCTATAGTAACTATAATCATGGTGTTCCATGCATATATCCCCAATATTGAGTTGAATGTAAGTTGTTCAATACTATCCTAATTAACAAGCTTAATTTATTATTCCTAAAGCCTATTTCTGAAATTAAGTTGCATAAATTTATGAAACTTTAAATATGATTACTAGTACAGGGTAGGTCAGCAAATAGAAGACAATGCATAGAACAATGCAGTCTAAATATTTAGTATAGAATGAAGTTATATATATATATATATATGTAAATAGGTGTATTTACATGCTATTTTTAACATACATCCATTCATGGACATGAATGGAAACCCAAAATGTAAGTTGTGATGGTATTTTCTCTAAAATTATCTGGTCATGATTAGTTGTTATCCACATTCAAGTTTTGTTTTTTGTTGAATTTCACACATAGCTACTCAAGGATTAGCTGTGCATACAGTCAAGTAACTGTTATATTTTTCTCTTTTTTTAGATGAATCTTACTGAAAAAGAACAAAAAAACTTAAGGTAATGTAATATATTCAGTAGTAAAAAACATTACCATATACTTACTGTAATAGTTAATTGAAAACTAATATATGTACATAAATGTATAGAAATTTGAAAAGCAATGCACCATTCAGTGCTCTTAGAAATATGGTTTAAAACAAGTATGCTTGTTTCTGTTAAATCTTCAAAACTTAACAAAAAATTATCATTTTAAAATCAATAATAGATTGTGATTTAGAACGAAAGTCTATGTATTACCTTACTGAGTTACAATGTAAATGAAATAAAGTTACTTGCATGTGTTCAGTTCTTTTGTTTACTTTCATTAGTTGTTCCAGTAGTTTGATACTAAATCTTGGAATCATATCAAACATTACTTTAAAGTTATAATATTTTTGTTCTTCCTAACAAATAGCTGGTCTTAATTTTCGAAACTGAAAGATGGGTTGAAAAGGTTTAACTGGTACTGTAGTATACGAGATTCTAAAAACTAAAACACTATTCAGACATAAGCACACATGCCCATTTTAATGGTCTTCACCAATTTTCTTAATTAAATTATAACATTCTTGATACTGGTTATCAAGTAAATAAAAGCATAATTACATAAGTTAAATGTGGTAGCTTAACAAAACTGACCAAATGAGACATAGTTATGTTTACTGTAGCTAAAAGTATTTGTTTGTTGAATTTCGTTCAAAACTACTCAATAACTATCTGTACTAGCCATCCCTAATTTAGAAGTGATAGAATAGAGGGAAAGCAGCTAGTCAACATCACCCACTGCCAACTTTTGGGCTACACTTTACCAACAAATATTGGGATTGATAATGACCTCATGGCCAAAAGGACAAGCAGGTTTGGTGGGGAAATTCAAACTTGAAACCCAAAGATTGTGGGCCAAGTGCTTTAATTACTAGGCCAGCTAAAATTAACACAGTTGAATGGTAGAAAGTGTGATATTTTTAGATTAAACCGATTTCCACAAAAATTAGTACGTATAATGGAAGGTTTAGCAGGATATGTTACAAGTAACACTGAATCTAACTAAAATAAGTTTAAGCTGAGAAACAAACAGACTGGACACAATGTATGATACAAAATGAAAACACTATTTATTAACAAAGACAAAAAGTGTTTGTATGTGCATTGGACACTGAACTGCTGCATTACCCTGGGCTTGTGAATTGATTGACTGGCTTTCCTTCCTCAAGGTGTCTTCACAACAACCAGTGTACTTGAGATCTCGCATAGTAATGTGTATACATAACAATTCTTGCTTGAGGGAAAATATTAGATTTAGCCTTACTGACTAGTGCTACTAACATGACTGATCATTCTAATCTAGCGTATGGGAGGCCATAACATCTAAATATCATCTGACCTTCCACTGAAAGACATTGCTGTATCTACATTATTGCACAATGTGCAGTGTTACACCAATAGCACAATGGACAGAACATGTATTACCTCTAGAGAATAACAAAGGCATCTAGAATGGAATCAACTTAATGGCTTTCTGGACTCCATGTTATTTAAAAACTGCATAGTCTCAGAATAAACAAAAATATTTTGAAAACTTCTTAGTTAAAATAAGAAGGTAGAAAATGCATGGTATGCCTGCATACTATAAAAGTATAAATTACTGTTCTGGTTAATATTACTGTTTGTTGTTGTTTTTAACCTACAAATTATTTTACATCACTGACAACATATGTTAAAGGCATAAGAGTATGTATTCAATATCTGTTACCTTATTTATTAAGTGATGGCCATAATTATACACTATCATCTGACACAGCAATTTTTACTGTAACAAAACTATGCGAAGGATGATGAGATCATTTTTAGATCGTAAATCTTGACATAAACATTGGCTTTTGAAACCACGTCTACGTTGAAACAAAGGTACAAAAGTTCATTTGAGCTGCACTTTGGAACTTTACAGGAATATAAACAAATAATATTGCTGTTTTTCCAGTTTCTTTATTCACCTTTCTCCTACAAACTGCAGAAGGCTTAATTTGAGGTGAGGCTCGAAACATGCGAGTCTTCATCAACATGGAATCCTTAATATTATCAAGTTAATTACACTAACAGATATGCCTAGCTCCATCACAATGTTCTCTTTTGTAACATAATCTTCACTTTGTGGCTGAGAGTGTCAATAAGATTTGGCCTAGAATGTGGTCCTGGAGCTCCTGGTTACCTTAAACTCTGATGTGAAAGTTTTTCAGCTACCATGGAAAAACAGTAGGCTCTCGTCTTAATAAATGTTGTGTCATTTAACTATACATTGTATTAACAATCTTGCTTCATAAATATCCTTCCATGGAAAAAGAGTACTATATCCAATGGCAGCATTGCACCACTTTACAGTGCAATATCTAAGTGCTAAATAAGTCAGGAGTGACACCAAGACTCACATTTGCAATAGCTTGTGACTGTATGAGCGTATGTTGTTACATAAAGTGTGGGTAACCTTTCGTACATTGATATTAATAATTTGAAAATTAAAAACCTGTGCAAATAGATACTTTCAACTATCTTCAAATTATTGATAATTACATTTGTACTAGCCTAAAATTCAGACTGAGGACCTGCTTTTATCAATTTTTGTTAGTTATCTGAATTCGATCTACCCCGTATTCTTAAATTCTCCTTACATACAAGGTTGGTTGGTTGTTTCAGAGCAAAGCCACATTGGGCTATCTGTTGTGTCCATGTGGTGAATTGAATTCCGGATTTTATAATTATAAGTTCATGAACTTACTACTGCCCTACCGGGTGACAACATGCAAGAATGTTTGATTAAAATGTGTCCAAATGCTTCAGCATTAAAGAAAATTTGATCCCAATATTAGATGGAAGGTACCCTGTCATACTAGAATTTTAGAAGTTTTGTCATAACACTTTATGAATTGACAGTTGATGGGTTATTTTAAATTAGCTGGTGAAAACAATTAAACATTCAGTCGATGTGGCGAAAACAAATTACTTTATTTCCTCCTTTAACATTTCTATAATCTTTACACTGTCGTAACTTCTTGTAAGCCTACGTTACAGATGACATCCTTGCCTCTCCAACAATACTAGAATTAACGTAAAATCAATGTACTTGTATAAAGTAACTCAGTAAGCGCTCTAGCAAACACTGATCCAAATATTTCACGTAAACACGCTAACCAATTCAACTCTCTATTTTGAAAAACTACCTACGATTTCCTTGACTATCTTTCAACTCACTCTACTCTCAATGCTTCGAGGAACCTTTTGTTTATAATCTACTTTCATATGTACAGAACACTTGACACTAAATCTTTAGAACTTTCTATGTCTATTTCAACATCATTATTTACAACCTTCAGCTCTTTCTAGCTAACAAACAAACTGCAACATTAAAAATATAGCTTATAGAAATATTTTGTTTATACTTACCTAGATCTAAGATTTGTGTTCCATTTTTGCAATCCACTTCTGCAGTCGTTAATCTGGGTCCATTTCGATGCTCCTCTTGACAGCCCTTTTTGTCCTCTCCGATGGACCAGGATGACCCGGACGCTGCTCAGTTGTTTCATTGCCGTGTTTCCTGAACTGCACGATGATTCTGTTGACTATCGAAAGCAGGATTCCCAAATTCTGCGATATTTGCCACTGACTTATCCCACCATCTGCTTGACCAACCATCCTTCCTCTAACAAAATCTGACAATTCGAGAGACAATTCGAGTTCTAGGCATGTTGTAGCACAAGATAATTAGTGTGCGGACCATTTTCATTTATATAGTGCTCTGTGAACGCAAATTAGTTAGCATAAGTCAGTTAAATGACGAAAAATTAGGTGTCTATTTACCTGTGACCACTCGGTGTATACAAGGGCTGTGTCACTAGGGGGCTAAGCCCAAAGTGTGGTGCACAGTTTTGGTTCGAAGTAGCTTTGAACCTCGAACCTTTGGATTTATAGTCTAAGCACTAGATATGCAATGAAAAATTATTAACCAAAGTTGGTGGGATGAGCCCGAAATCTGTTCAACGGATTCTCCACAGATTGGGTTATCGTTGCAGAGCAGCTAGACGGAAGCCCTTATTAAGACCTGCCAACATAGTCAAACGAAAGAAGTGGGTTAAGTGATATGATGACCAAGCCTCTGGACTTTTGGAAGACCGTATTGTTCTCAGACGAATCAAGATTCGCTCAACTTTCGGACAGTGGAAGGATATGGGTCTGGAGAATGCCTCACCAAGAGTTTTGGCTCAACAGATTGTAGCCAACTGTGAAGCAGGGTGGTTTCAGCGTGATAGTTTGGGGAGCTGTTTGGGTTGGTGGGAGATCGAGCTTAGTGGAGTGCGTTGGCAACATAAATTTTGCGAAATACGTCGAAATATTGGAGGAATGACTCTTACCACTTTATTCCTCGGGTTTCGTGGACAAGAAC